GTAAGACTTTTCTTTATTTGCTATTTTTTAATTCCTTTTTTTTTTTTTGTTTTCCAAGTAGCAGTGAACTGAGAACACAAAATCCACTGTATTTGAGTTTGAACCATAACTTACTTTTTTTTTTTTCTTTTCTTTTTATGGTAAATCTGCAAATAAGCTCAACCAACAGGACAGAAGCATTAACCTACAAGTATGAGCTTGGCCAACTTGCACCAGAAGAACAGCCTTGCCAGCAGCCCTTTTAAAGTAAGGAGCAACTGAGAATAAAACAGAAGCACTGACAATATATTATTTAAAATATATTTTTATCCTATATATATTTTATCTATAAAAATATATACTTATACTATATATTATATAATTCTAAGCAGAGGTTGCTCCTGATTCTAGCACGGGGTACTACAGCAATGGGGCTCTCAGGAGGACAAGCACTGGAAAACACGGCGACAAAAAGATTAAAATGAAAAGTTTTCTAATGATATAATAACTGAGAACACAAAGTCCACTGTATTTGAGTTTCAAGCTTAACTTACTTTTTTTTCTTTTTTTTTCTTTTTTTAATGGTAAATTTGCAATAAGCTCAACCAACAGGACAGAAGCATTAACCTACAAGTATGAGCTTGGCCAACTTGCACCAGAAGAACAGCCTTGCCAGCAGCCCTTTTAAAGTAAGGACCAACCAAAAATAAAACAGAAGCACTGACAATATATTATTAAAAATATATTTTTATCCTATATATATTTAAAATATACATTTATACTATATATTACATAATTCTAAGCAGAGGTTGCTCCTGATTCTAGCACGGGGTACTGCAGCAATGGGGCTCTTGGGAGGACAAGCACTAGAAAACACGGCGACAAAAAGATTAAAATGAAAAGTTTTCTAATGATATAATGATATAAGAAGATAGCTCTCCCACAGCAAGACTGTGAATAGTACAATCTGCATTCCACTTCCCAAAACCAGACTTCTCTTTCTATTCCCTGACCATTTGTCACAGAAACATACCATGATGGAAGGGGTCTCTCACTGCAACGAGCACAGCAGCATAACATCCTCGAGTTTTTAGGTCAAAAAGTTCCTTTTCTCATGTTTCTGTCTTATTCACAGTTACCTCATAGAATCAAAGAGACACCACTTTTTCTAGCAGGAATTTCTACTGCCTCTGAGAAACATCCAAGAACCTGGCACCTGTGGAGCCCACCAAGAGCAAGGATTTAACTTGGTGCCATCTCTTCTGATAGGAGCCCTCCATCTAATCAGTGGGTAGGCAAAAACCTATCCCCCTGCTCCAAATTCAGGAGCCATTTCTGCCTGAAATAGCCTAGTTTGTAATCAAGCACCGCTTCAAACAAATGTCTGTTTTCAAACAGCGACGAAACATTGTCAGTATGAATTATACATCGTATTTCAATTTTTAATTAAACGTTTCCACATCAAAAAAAGAAAAAGTTGGTTTTTTTTTTCCCCACTCCATCTTTTTCTGCTTCAATTTCTAAGTGATGCTGGTTTCCTACACTTTCCTGAAGACCATCTATAAAGTAGAATGACACCCAAGACTGATGTGAAATACCACTGGTAGCAGCCACCCCACCCCACCATCCAACCTCTTTTTTTCTAACACCCTTCCAAAACCCTGATGAATAGCACGTATCTGCCAGCTACGGACCTGCTCCATACTTGCTGCTAATTGCCTGTATGTGACAAAATGAAATTACCATAATTGGGATTAATAACAAAAAAGTACACATTCCCCAAAGGTTGGTCATACTCGGTGTACAAGCAAGGGTTGCAGGGGGAATTTTTCAATACTGAAATTTGAGAGATTGTAGGGGGTGTTTCATTATAACACGGTATAGAGCAGTCACACTTAAAATGTTTATCTTACAATACTCTTCCTAAAAGTGCATTTTTAATCAACCTGATTTCATACAACAGCATTTTAGAAAAGAGCTCTACGCACGCCTTGAATTAATACTGAAAAGGATAGTCCTCAGCTGGGTTTGCAGACACTTTTGTTTAATTAGCATTACGCAAAAGAATTTCAGCTGATCTAACCCATCTCATCCCCTACCAAAGCTGTAGAACAAAAAAAAAAATATAATTGTATCTTGTTTTAAATGCCTGGAATCTCCTCCCCTGAACGCCGAGCCAAATACCCAGCTTAGCTGGTTTCAAACTGCTCTTCTGAATTGCAGCGTGTTTGATTAAAATTTTTCTACTAGAGATTCACAGACAACGACAGCACTTCTGCTGCCTGATGGTCCCCAAAGGTCTTTTTAACTGCCTTTAAGAAAGAAAAATCACTGCAAATAGTTAAAATGACAAAACCATCTCTCCCTCATCTCCAAAAAGAAAAAAAAAAAAAAAAAAAAAAAAAAAAAAAAAAAAAAAACAAATCACAAAAAAAACCCACAAAAGCAAAACCAAAAAAGCCCAAACACATGAATCCCCAACAAACAGGAGAGCCAGGGCTACCTGGAAATGTGAAGAACGAAGTGAGGATTAGAAGTGGCAAGTGACCCTCTGGAGGGTAAGAAAACCATCAAACTATATTGGAAACAAATTTTCTCCCTTTCCCTCAGCACTTTTGCTGTCTCCAGCAAAGTAACTCACACAAAACTAAACACTTGCAAACACTGTCACAGAGACTATTTGTAAAGCATCCCGTCCAAATGCTTCGCGGGGTTGTTTTATTTAACTGTGTGAATTCAGTGTGATTTAATTTGAGAAAGTAAAGGATCTCATTCACCTAAACACTTCTCATCAGATGCTGGCCTTGCTTTTGCCTTTCAAAGGAGCGTTTGCAGCTCCAATTTAGCATTGAGTTTCCAGGGCTAATGAAAGTGCATCCAGGCTAGTAAAACAGACCAAAACAAATCCTTGAATTCAAGTCCTGTTGTGTAATGAGGAAGTTTAATTAAGGCCACACATTACAGCTGTAAACGTTCTCTTATATAATAAGGTCTAAATGAAACTGAACCTAATCAAAGTTACAATTCCTTCATTAGCAAATTACAAACAAGAGCGCGCAGCTGACACACCGGCTATGATTATCGCAACTAATTGCCTCGTTGTTACCAAAACCAGCCTGAAACTGTGTTCAGATGTCCGTCTGCAGTAGCAAATTAGGGCCACATCAGGCTATTTCTGCGATCACAAGGGGCTCTTGTCGAGTGATTCTGATTTACCCCGCCGACTGGCAGCACACGGGCCCAATCAAAGCCCCCCCTCTACAAAGGCAGCTTTGAAGCCAGCGCGGCCTAGAAACCCCTCTCCATATGCAGGCCGGCAGACTGCACTTCATTAGGCCTGTTGTCACATTTTCTTTTTTTTTTTTTTTTCCCCCCCCTCTTCTTATTCTAATGATCCTATTTTAATACACATAGGAACCTCTCCTAATTGATGTCAAGTGAGTGACTTCCACATTCATCACCGGAGCACATCAAAAAAAAAAAACGCCGTCTTGGGCGCAAGGGGCCTGCCGTCGGAGTGCTTAAGACTCGAGGTGTGTCTCCAACTACCCAAAGCAAAAAAAAATAAATAAATAAAAAATAAAAAAAAAATATTAAAAAAAAGGATTTCAGCGTTACCTGTTTAATTGGGATCGCGCGACCGCTTCCAATGCTGTCTGTTCTGCTCTCCAGGACCTTCTTCTCTTTGTCTGGGTCACTCCCTTTCCGAGACTGCAGAGGAAAAAGAAAGTTTGTGCTCCATTAAATGTAGCAGTTCACACAGAGGATGCTCTTTTTTCCCCCCTCTTTTTTTAAAGCAATTTTTTTTTTTAAAAAAAAAGGCATTTTGACACATAAATATAGACTCAAAACATGTAGGTTACAATCTACAATAGCACACAACTATCCCAAACTCTGAATACTAAAAAAAACACCTCTAATTTTCAACCATCCACTTGTTTGAAATGGCATTTGAGTGTAAAGAGTTAGAGTTTCGCTGCCTGAAGACCCAACAGATGAGAGGACACGTTTCTGAAGTCTCCAAAAATAGCTCCAAAGAGGAATGAAGGTTCCAGCTCCTCATTAAAAAAAAATAATGGATACATACGTGCATACATTTAACTTACATCTGTGCGGGTTTTAGAATTGTTATCCACTACTTAGAAATGCAATTTTATGATGTTGGTTTTGATCATATTGACTTAACTTCCCCCCCCTACTTTTGGATGGTTAGAAAGTTGGAACTGCAAGAAAAGATAGCGACTGATACTGAAAAAAGTTATCTCAATGCAACAAAAAAAAAATCATCATGAGGAAAATTTAACCAACGTTAAAAACCTGAATTGCCTGATCTTGGCTTTCTGTAATGCCAGAACTGCCCTAGGAGTAAGCTCAGGGTGCTCACTTTGCGACTTTTTAAAGTTATATAATAATTTTAAGAAGTTATTGAGATTCCTGTCCATTATTGTGAAAGAACGCACCGGCATAATGATTGTGACAGATTTATTTTATTACAAAAAGCAGACCTGAGAGTCATCCTCCTTAATAACTGAACTGACAAGTGACAACTTCACTCCATTACTTTTCAATAGGAACATTACTCACACAATATCGAAAATGGGAAAACATTTTCATGTGCTTTTCAAATCAAGAGATGATATATGAAAGGAATACATTTGCGATGTCCAGCGCCGCGACGGGAAGATAATGAAAAACCAGAGTGACACAAGAAACTGCTTTTCATTTTCGGGAGGAAGCGACGTTTGAAAGAGACTGAAATTAGGAGAACGATTAGGATTGTGGATAGGCTAATATCTATTTTTCCGTATTATACGATGGGGTGGAAGGAAGGAAAAAAAATATAATAATAAGCCCCAAAGCTTTCGGGGGTGAGAGGAGAGAAGGGGAGGGAGGAAACTCAAGGAGGAGGACTTGAAGTAAGACCATTCTAAGCAAGACATTTCCCCAGCAGGGATCCCGTGCCGCTTTCCCCGCTCCGCCGGGAGCGGGCTCCTCTCACCAGTTACTATGGTTCGGGGCAATGGAATGACATGCCAGGGAATTAAACAAAGAATAAATGAAAGAAAGCAAAACAAGTGGGAGGGATGAAAACCCAACGTCGGGGATAACTATTGTTCCCCCCCCTCCCCGACCTTCAAAACAGATTTCTGAATCTGAAAGTGCCACTTCCCAAGAATACGAGGCAAAACAATGCTTCAATGGGGCAGAGTGCCCGTAAGTGACATTTTTAAAGAAACTCAGTGAGGGTAGCCAAATCCTTGGAAGGGAAGTTGTCAACTTGAATGTTTCTTTTTTTTTTTTATTTATTTGACTTTTTAAAAGAAAGGAGCCCGCTTCTGAAAAGCAAGCTCAATATCTACATGCTATTTTTCATTTGTATTTTAAAATCATCACTTTTTCCACCTGATATAACAAATACGTGCATCTGCATATAGAAGGGAAACATCCTGCAAGATAATGTCAAATACCAAAATATAGAATACCAAAATAGGTATTTCTGTTAGGCAAATCCTATTCTAGCTTTTTGTAATCACAGAATACATGAAATTTTCAAGAGGAGAATCTTAGCAGGCTGTGCTATTTATAAAGACAACTCATGCACTGAAATAGAGATATATTCTGATTTGTTGTGCTTTTGTACCTATGACACACACAGTGCATGGTACATCTGATAGCTTAAAAAAACCAGCCTCTAAACCATACTGGATCAGGACTTTTGCAAGGACTTTTTCTGATGTCACATCAACACATTAAGTCATTCTATTCAAAACTTCATTTTTCAACCAGAAAAAGTCCGAAAAGAAAATATTAAAAGACCTGCATGAATATAATTTGACTCATTTCTCCTTCGCACTGGAAGGCATACGCAGACTTATGTCAATATTAAACCTTACCCAAGGTAAGGTCTGTGAAATAAGATTTAATCCCAGAAGGATATAGCACCTGAGTTTGGGCTACAGAATTCTGTATCCACAATCCAGAGAGTCCCAAAAGTAGGAATACTGATCTCTAATAGCAGATACCGAGACAGAGAGTTCATTTTAACTTTTAAAAAGAGAGTCTTGCTTGTAGTTCTGCAAAGATTTAAGATAAGCAATAATGAATATGGGAAAGGAGATGCATCTTTCTGTACCAGGAGCTCATTCACCCCATATGGGATTGAACACAGCTACAATCAGTTCTTTGCTGAAGTGGCCTTCACGTGCATCTTAAATGCCCACCTGTGCTATACACTATTATTTTGTTGTCTCTGTTAAAACACCGTGAGTATTTATATTCAAAGAAAAGAAAATACAATCAGATACTGCACTTAATGCACTTAAACATGAACACACTTAAAATTCTCAATTCTATTCCAACGCAAAAGCTGTAATCGATTTAAAAAAATAAAAAATCACATCTGTTCTCTACTTAACCTAATTTTCTTCCAACACTAAAAGATCTTAATGTAGGACACTAAATATATTACCTATGCTGGATAACAAGGGGCAATTTGCAGTTAAACAGAAATATATTTGATTCCGTAAGGGATAAAGGCATAAGCAAGTAACAGGGTAGTAAAGAAGCACAGTAAGAAAGTCAGAGCTAAACAGTGAAACATTTTGATTAAGCACTCTGTCATAACTAGACACAAAATGCTGGTTGTCTAATTTATTCAATTAAATAATTCCAGGTTATGATATGGCATGAAACCTGAGTTATCACAGGGTCAGCGTTGAATACTCCAGGACAGGGATTACAGGGCAACTCATTACACAGCATTCAATATGCCCAGATCTTAAAAGACAGGAGTAATTCTGAAAACTCAAATTATATTTTTTTCCCCAACAGGACTTGTTTTCCCCCCAATTTTCCCCCAGTTATTGGCCATTAAGATAGCTATCAGCATTCTCCTGTATTAGCAAATCTGGTTCTTACTATGCCACTCTCACAAACCAGAGCTTTACTCTATTTGTTTCCAGCAAACACAGCTCACAACTTTCTTCTAAACCTTTTTCCACGACTGGAGCTGGTGTCTCTATTCACTTTCTCCAATTTACACCAACTTCAACTTAAAACATCCCCAGTTTCCCAAACGTCAACAGCATCTAGACAGCCCTTACAGCATTTTATGCCCCGTTCCGACCAGAAACGGTCGGGGGAATGCTTTTAAGAGCTGGTGTAGCCTCTCGGCTCTATTTCCAGAGGTTTATTCCTCTGCTGGCAGTTCCTAGGCTGACACTGACACCTAGTGGGGTTTGGTAACTCCTTGAGTATCTCCAGACAGCAGCGAATATTACCACCAAGAGGAGGAAATCCACCCGATTCCTGTAAAATGTCAGTGTCAAAATCGGATACGTTTTCACCTACTGCTCATTTTTGCAGGTTTTTTTTTTTTTTTTCACCCAACCTTTGGCATCTGAACACAAATGTGTGGTTTTCATGCCTTCGTAGGAGTTTGAAGACCTACAATTTTTAAATCAGAGCATCCCTGTTGAGATGGGCACATGAATTACAATTCCCTGTTGCTCCGGGCTCCGAAACAATCGCAAAACTTTCTACTTGCTGAAGGCTGGGAGGTCAGATTTTGTTTAGAGAATAAGGAAATAGTTTCACTCTTTTTTGTACGTGATTCCCTGGACACAACAAGGGAATTAGTTAGCTTTGGGAAGTCAACGTGACATCACTTTTGAAATAAAAGAACCAAACTTTTTCCATGATGACAGGGAAAATGTGGGTTTCTAAATGCGACTGACATGTAACTACAAATACCAAAGGATTCATATGGGAGCCCAGGGATTCTGTGTTTGCTATAAAGCATGGCAATACTGTCAAAAAACTGCTTCCAGACCCACAATTACGCACGTAATACAATCCCAAAGCTTTTGGCAAGACTGCAAAACTAAGGAAATCATCACTCAAGGCTTCGTTATCATTTCCCAAACTTACACGTAACAAAGACCTATCACATTAGACCGGTCAAGCCTTCTATTTAGCACTTTTTTTTTTTTTGGCCTATCAATGAAGCAAAAACCAGATGGTTGGGGAAGAAAAAAAAGTCCTTTTTAATCTCCATCACCTCTTTTAACCCTGGAAACAAGTAAGTTGAGACTATAGTAATAAAAGTAGCCTGGGGTAGTTATTTGGCAGTACCGCATGATATTGCCATGGTAAACCCTGAGATCCCTCTTCAAACACGGGAGACTTGAGAAGATTCAGAAGAAGGGCAGGAATGGGGAGCAGAGGCCCAGCTTTCTCTTTAATAACTGCCAAACGAGGGAAACGAGCCAAACGAGGTCTAAGAATCAAAGTCAGACAAAGTCTCCAGAATTCAACCTCGGATTTGTTTCACTGCAATTCCCAGTAGGATAACTTCACTGTATTTACAGAATCACAGAACCACATGGGGTTGGAAGGGACCTCTGGAGATCATCTAGTCCAACCCCCTCCCAAAGCAGGGCCACCCAGAGCAGGTCCCACAGGAACGTGTCCAGGTGGGGTTTGAATGTCTCCAGAGAAGGAGACTCCACCACCTCCCTGGGCAGCCTCTGCCAGGGCTCTGCCACCCTCACAGCAAAGAAGGTCCTCCTCATGTTGAGGTGGAACTTCTTCCATTCAAGCTTGTGCCCATTTCCTCTTGTCCTGTCCCTGGGCACCACTGAAAAAAGACCAGCCCCATCCTCTCAACACCCTCCCTTTAAGTATTTATCAGCATTGATCAGATCTCCCCTCAGCCTTCCCTTCTCCAGACTCAAAAGACCCAGTCCTTCAGCCTCTCCTCATAAGGGAGATGCTCCAGGCCCCTCATCATCTCTGTAGCCCTCTGCTGGACCCTCTCCAGCAGTTCCCTGTCCTTCTGGAACTGGGGAGCCCACAACTGGACCCAGTGCTCCAGATGGGGCCTCCCCAGGGCAGAGCAGAGGGGCAGGATGACCTCCCTCCACCTGCTGCTCACACTCTTCCTGATGCCCCCCAGGATGCCATTGGCCTCCTTGGCCATGAGGGCCCATTGCTGGCTCATGGGCATCCTATTGTCCACCAGGAAAAAAAAAAAGATTTCGTTTGAATTTAGTTTCTCTTTAAGTTCTTGAACTTAAGCCACATGATAGTTCTAAGATGTTTCAGTTTTCAAGCCTATGGATTCATCTCAACAATTCCGCGTGGATTAGATCATCTCAACTACTCAACAGGTTTGAAGTTGAGGCCGCCACCAGGTAAAACACAGCAAGAGTCTCTCCCTTGGCTCACTCACCGTGAAGAGGTTGGATCGGCGCTTGGACTGTTTACGGACAGGAGTTGGTGTGTTGGCAGTGGGAGGAACGTCAATCCGTAGCTCCTTCTGGCTGGTGCTTGGAGTTGATGGGACAGAGGAGGAATAATCACTTAAACTCCCTCCTCCATTACTGGTCTGCAAGGATTAAAGTTAGTTTTAAACAGTGATACACTGCTTTCAAGAAATTACAATCCACAGCTGTATCTTATTTACCCCTGATATACCAGAAGAACAGTGTGGGCTCAGGAGCACAGCGGGACTGCTCTACTGCCACTTTTCCACACATTTCTATTCCAAACTCTTAAAATTTTCCCTGCCATTGGTTTGGTGGGGTTTTTTGGGGAAAATTTAGATAGTTCTGTTGATATGGCAGGCACGTTTTCATTCTACACAACATAACCTTAACTGGATATAAACAATTTCATTTGTTTTACTAGTTTTAAGAGCGAGCAAAACATTGGAACAAGGATAAATTCTGGTTTTCTACTTCAAAACCGTGGAATGAAATTCTGCCTCAAGCCTAAGAAAAAAAAAACTTAATGCCATAGAACTGCATTGCTAGATTTCATCCTAGTCTGGAGATGTTAGTTCACTGAGACCTAAGCAAGAAAATGAAAACAATTCAATGTTATAAAACGGCTATTATGGTGATAGTTCCCGGCAAGATTTGGTACAGAGGTTCAAAGCTTTAAAGGAAGACATTCCAATTTGTCAAAAATAGCCCAAAATGTAAAGTTACATCATAGTCTTATAAGAAATAAAGCAGTCACACAGCCTATAAAACAATGAATTGAGCTAACAAGTTACTAACAGCAGGAAGGTGAGGAAAATGGACAGAATGGAAAGAACCAAAGAACAAAATCTTGATTTTTTTTTTCTTCTTTTTAATTACTACACACAACATAAGCGAGTGCTAAGAACATCGTTAAAAAGAATGCAGAAATCATCTAGAATAGACAAAATAACAGTTTTTTTCCTGTCAGATACAAGTATATCCTTTGAGGATTCAGCGTACATGCTGCTGGGGTCTGAGGCAGGGCAGAGGTGGACAATTCTCCACGCTGGTGACAGAAAGCCCACCAGATGAGCAGCAGTGGGGAAGGGCTCACAGCAGCTCACACTAAAATTATGAGGGGGGAGATCAAAAGGGTGAAAGAACAACTCTAAATCAGCCAAGTTTCCTAAAAGAAGTGAGGAAAGGGGGCAAGAGGGTATTTCAAGGATGTCTGAGGAGAAGGATTCCCCCATGACACTTAACATGTGACTTGCTCTCATCTTAATGGCTGTAGGTAGGAATTCACCAGGTAAAGCTCAGGAGGAGAAGCAGACACTCCAATGGCTGCTCTTCAGTGTCGCTCCTGCACTAGTGACCGGTCTTACACGAATGCCAAGGTGGCACCAGCAGCACGATGGGACTTCTCCCACATGCCTTGGAGGTCAGCGTACCCTGGAGGACCAGGATGTCAAGTTGCAAGCAGTCAAGATGAAGACTGAAGGAGCACCAAGTAGGAGACAATCTTTTACATCATCCTGTTGAAGTCTCTTTTCAGGATTTCAAGTCCTCTTCTGATTCTTACAGCTTCTCCAAATTGCCTTTTTTTAGTGGGTTTTTTTTTGTGGGGTTTTTTTTTTTTTTTTTAAATTCAAGAAGCAAAGGATGAAAAGGAAGAGGCATGAGACAAGCAGCTCATGTTTGGGCTGAAGAGCCATTCAATGCAGATCAAAATCCAGAACCACTCCTCTGAAAGTCACTCTTTCTCTGTAAATGACATGTTCCTCATCTCACTTCTGTGTGACAGAATAGGACTGACAACACAGAACATGAGCTTTCTGATGGAGAAAGTTCTCCTCTTCCCCTCTTTAAATAAACATATATCCATATATATTAAGGACACTAAATTTCCTCTTCCTTTCATTCTGACTGGAGAAGCATGGCCTGTGAGGAAGCCAGAGGTAAGGGTATTGAAAGTGATAGAGGACCTTGAACTTTCCTACATTTTCAAGTGCTAGAGGAAGTAGCAAGCAGAATTTGGGGACCACTCAAGAATATCAAACAAGTGAGATGAAACAATGAGAGCTGAAATGATTATTTTTAGTGTCCTGACAGAGAATGGTAACACCAGAGACACGAGCAGGACAATCTGGGAAGAACAGACCTTAATTTAGGCTGAAAGCATTCGCTTTTCCTTTCTCTATGGCATCTTGCTAAGACATCAAGTACCACAGGCAACACACAGGAGAGTAAGACACACACCAAACCTGTGGAAGCCAGAGATTATCTCCCCAAAGAAACACAGAAGAGTCTTGCATGAAAAGAAAGTAATGAAAAGGACACAAAGTAATGGACAAAAGTTTGCCCAAGTTCAAAGTCGAAGACTTTGAAAATGATTACTCAAAGCATTGAACATGTCAGAGAGGAGGAAGGTGGAATGGAAGCCTTAAAACAACGCTGCCAAAAGGAGGTGGAGGAGAAGACATCTGAATGCTCATCAACCGTACAACGGCAGAAGAGAAAGAAGCCAAGGACACCAGTGTGCAGGAATGGCTTTCAGAGCAGAGTGGTGAGGGACCTACTTTCCATCCTGCCATGACTGAACCAAACTGAGGTAGGAGGAATGAGGGAGAAGGAAGTTTAAGGAAGTTTAATGGAAACAGGCACTGAACACATTTGAGATTAAAGCCATACAGCTGCAAGGCTGACCAGAGGAGAAGGAGAAAAAAAGAAGGCAATAAGCAATGAAGAGGATGGAGAAAAAAAGAATAATCACCACAGGGTTATGCCTCGAGGCATTTAGAAGCCTCTTCTACAGAAAGGGCAGGAAAGAGGCAAGAAGGAAGGATTCAGATGTCCTATGCTGATGACAGGATTTGCTGCAGAAAATAAAAGGATTAGGCTACGTTCTGTTTCATAGCACTGATCAACTTGATAACTATGCACCTCTACCTTTTTCTTTTTTAAATTCCACCTTTTTTTTTCTTTTTAAACTAAAAATAACAGATTTCTACCCTAAGCGCCTATTTCCCAGATAGAGCACGTAACAGATTCCCTAAAATTTTACCTTTTTCATCTTTCGTCATCTTATACCATCATTTTACACTTTTTGCAGTGAGGCACTGTCTCCTGGATTTTTGAGTGATTTATTTTCCAGGAGTGAGTAACTCCTAAAGGAAAACACATACATGGGGGGCATTCTAGTGCCCAAAGACAACCATTCCTATACAGACAGTGTCTACAGAAGAAGTCCTTCAGGCAACATTTCTCTTCACACATACTAACTCCACCACATTTCCAATTTTGTAAATAAAATTCTGAGGTGGTTTCAAAATCAGCCACGTCAAATCCACTGGCTGGAAAAAAAATAAAATTAATCTATTTCAATAAAAGAATTAAAAGTGCAAGGCTTCCATGGAATAAAAGCATGGCTATCAATACTGGACAAGCTCAACTCCTACTGAGGGTGCCAATAATTAGCAAACACAAGTATATGGCTGCTCTGAAGCACCTCAATAGACAGAATGAGTTTGACCAGAAAGAGCTTGGCCATGACTTCCAAGTTACAGCCTGGAACCCAATGAGAAACACCAGACAAGCACTTTCCAACCATATTTCTGGCAACATCTGAACCCAACGCAGTGATGAAGGTAAGAAAAGGTGGCTGAGTGGTCTATCTTGGGTTGGTTGCTTGCCCCAAACAGAATTCTTGCTTTATTAAGATTGTAAAAGAGCAGTTTTCCACCATCGGTACACAAGCTTTGAATAAAAGCTCACTGGAGTGAGATGCAGAATTTAGGACACGTGGCAACAACCGGAATTCATGGAAAGTCATAAAAATCAAGTCAGCAAACCTGAAGAACGATGTTCCTTACAGCATGTGTAACCCAACACATATAAAAATAAACCCATTTGCTGACAAGAGACAAACTGGTCAAATTTGGGGCAGTCAAAACCAATCAAAACCAATCAATGTCCCCGCTGGGACATTGCACAGCTTAACGTTACCTTTGCAATCGAGTTTTTTCCACTAAGCTGCTCTCAAGAGTTGGACATACCTGAGATGTCAGCAGAAAGGGCCAGTTTTGTGAGTCACTGCTCTACCCAGAGTCACGGCGACAGGGACAGAGGTCCATCAAACAACTCCAAGTAGGGAAACTATTAGCCCCAGTAGAATCATTTACACAGCTATACCCCCGTTTGGCTTTCTCAGGTGGCACATTTTCCCGTCCTCGTTAAGGCAATGTGCCCATTCTGAAACGTGCTCAGCATCTGGACACACACAGGAACAACCTTGACTTTCCTTCCTGCTAGGAAGACACACAGCCTGATGGTGGTTGTTGAACTTCAGCCACTGCTGCAGAAACCCTGGAACTCCTTCAATCTTGGGGATACGTTATTTCTAGAACGCACCTTGTGTGAATGGCCACTACTGGAGGTCATCTGGTCCAATGCTCCTGCTCAAGCAGGGCCACCTAGAGCCCAGGACCATCCAAGGATGCTAAATCCAGTTGCTAAGTCCAGTTTTGGGCCCCTTACCACAAAAAAAGACATTGAGGTGCTGGAGCGGGTCCAGAGAAGGGCAACAGAGCTGGTGAGGGGTCTGGAGAGTAAGTCCCATGAGGAGCAGCTGAGGGAGCTGGGGGTGTTCAGCCTGGAGAAGAGGAGGCTGAGGGGAGACCTTATCACACTCTATAACTACCTGAAGGGGGGTGTAGAGAAGTGGGGGTCGGTCTCGTCTCCCAAGTCACAGGACAAGGGGAAATGGCCTCAAGTTGCACCAGGGGAGGTTTAGATTGGATATTAGGAAACATTTCTTCACAGAAAGGGTTATCCAGCATTGGAATGGGCTGCCCAGGGAAGGGGTTGAGGCACCATCCCTGGAGGTGTTCAAAAGACGGGTTGACATGGTCCTCAGGAATATGGTTTAGTGATTTTTTTATTGCTTATTTATTTTTATTTATTTTTTTTTGTCAGAGTTAGGTTGATGGTTGGACTAGATGATCTTTCAGGTCCCTTCCAACCTAGATGATGCTATGATTCTATGACTTCATTTACAGAAATGTATACCTTTAATACCCATACAGGCTTCTAGCTTTGTTGCCACGTAGACTGATGCAGTAAAAAAAGGCAGGGTCATGGC